CTCGGCAGCGCTGCATGTGAAACATCGTTAGGTCAAAGTTATTATAGAGTTGAGGACAATAACAGGCAGTATCTGAGATTTGAACTACTGAAGGCTTGAGGGTAAGCACTCCATTTTCTCCACGATCACCGACTGGGCACATGACTCTTCTCATAAAAGTTGCCTCCAAAGCAAAGCTGACCATTTGTCCCCTCGTGCAGCACAAGTATGACAACGACCCACTAAACTCGTGCCAAATATGCTGGCACGTCACACTGTCCATCACCATTGCGTCCAAAGCAGACGAGCTGACCATCTGCTCGCATTGCTCAAATATGAAAATCGCGCTGAGTCTGATAAGACTGGTCACAAAGCTGCTGGGACGTCACACTGCCCATAACCATTGTCTCCAAAGCAGACGAGCTGACCATCTGACCGCACTGCACAAGTATGGTCACAGCCCGCTGAGACTGCTAAAACTGGTCCGAAATCTGCTGGGACATCACACTGCCCATAACCATTGTCTCCAAAGCAGACGAGCTGACCATCTGCCCGTATTGCACAAGTATGCGAATGGCCCGCTGAGATCGCCGAAGCTGGTCCCAAATCTGCTGGGACTGCAAAACGGCTTCCAAAGCAGTCTGGTCACCGCCCGCTGAGATCGCCAAAACTGGTCCCAAATCTGCTGGGACGTCACACTGCCCCGAAGAATTGACTCCAAAGCAGACGAGCTGACCATCTGCCCGTATTGCACAAGTATGCAAACCGCCCGCTGAGATCGCCAAAACTGGTCCTAAATCTGCTGGGACGACACGCTGCCCCTCACAAGTGTATCCAAAGCAGACGAGCTGACCATCTGACCGCACTGCACAAGTATGGTCACCGCCCGCTGAGACTGCTAAAACTGGTCCCAAATCTGCTGGGACATCACACTGCCCATGACCATTGTCTCCAAAGCAGACGAGCTGACCATCTGACCGCACTGCACAAGCATGGTCACCGCCCGCTCAGACTGCTAAAACTGGTTCCAAAATTTGATGGGACGTCACACTGCCCATGACCATTGAACCCAAAGCAGACGAGCTCACCAAGTATGCAAATGGCCCGCTGAGACTGCCGAGGCTGGTCCGAAATCTGCTGGCAGACCTCGCTGCACATGTCGGCCGAATACACTGTTCCTAACTGCATGCCTGTTGGAAACTCGAACATCTCCGGAACGTGGTGGGAATGCGCAAGTCCGAGTCCGTCTGTTCATTTTGCTTCGCCCCACTGACTGACCCTGTGTGGGAACGCACAAGGAGCCGGGACGAACCGCAAAAGAAGAATGGAATAGCACCCTCTGTGCGCAAAAGAACGAGGCAAATGAGAAGCCAGCTTTCATGGCTATTGAGAGAAGGAAGAAGTGCTCCAATGAGAGTGCGGTTGAAGCTGAAAACGGAACTTCGGCACGTACCTCATGCTACGCTGCAAGTATCGTTCTGGTCGGTTCGAGCTGTTTTCTATCGGGTCGGGCACGCTGTGTGGTCAAGTAAGCTATTTTCTATGGGGGTACGCATGGTTCCATAGTGTGGTTTTCATTACTTGGGTCTTAGTATGGGTCTTCCTGTGGAGTCTGTTGGTGGGTTCTGGGTCTTCAGGTGGCCTAGGGAGGTGTGCATGGTTAGAAAATGGAAATGCCGTTAAGTGGTTGAACAAAAGTATTAATGACATTGAACAAGAATACGGCGATCTAATCAGTCCTAAATAAAAACCAATAATAGCATTATTTTATTGAAATAATATTATTCTGTTTCTTATTCCTACCTCATTCCTAAACATTATTCTGATTATAGATATTTTATTAGAGAGTACCATTTCCATTTTCAAGGGTTAGGGATTTCGGGTTGGGCATATGGGTTTTTCTATGGGAGTGCGGGTGTATGGTGTTGAGGTTGGGGTTTTTCTACGCGGTGGTGTATGGTTCTTCTAGTGGTTCCATTATGTGGGTATTGGGTATAGGTTGTTATGGTTTTGGATCTTCAGGTGAGTTATTCCTAGGGTTCTACCTATGGATGTTGGGTTGGATTAGAGTTGAGGTATAGGTTGTTATGATTTGGGTGCTAGGGGGTGGGGCATGGTTAGAAAATGGAAATGGTCATTGCTAACTGTTTCATCGGACTCGCTTCAGGTCTCCGGCGACTTTGTGAAAAAGGCCTCGCAGCTGTACCGAGCTCGGAGATGATTGATGCATCACATAGACGCGAAACATATATATATATATAATATATATATATATATAAATATATAGATATAGGTATAGATATAGATACAGATAGAGAGAGAGGGATATATATATATATATGCTTCCCCCCCAAAGATCTACCCGATTTGGCT